AAATACAAAAGGAAGTTGATTATTGTTTATATAATTGTTAATATTAATGATAATTTTCAACTGTAAAATAGTTTTTTTACTAAATTAGACATAAATTTAAACTTGTCTGCAAAAAAACCAATTTTTTTATGAAGAAGGTCCGAAGTAATCTATTTGTTAATTAACATTGTTTGCAACAATTTAAATAAATTGTATTATGCTTTATTAATTGTCCGGTGGTCATACGAGACTAATTTAAATTGATTTCGATCATGTGTAATGGAAAAATAAAAAAACTAACATGATTTTTTCTAAAAATATTGTAATTTGTCAAATTTTTGAGTAACAAGAAAAAAATAAACAATTAAAAATTCAAAAATCGACTTTGATGGATCTCTTAGTAATTTTAAATCAAGAACATGAACATCCGATAAAATTTGTAGTTTCTAGACAATTTTCAATAGTAAGTTGAAAAAAAATCCCACTGTTCATCGCGCTGGAGTGCGCGAGCGGACGGACAAATTTTACTTATTACACTATATCTTTGGCAAATTGTTTCGGCCCATTTTCAGACTTATATCTTCTTTTAGGGGAATTCCCAAGCTTTCATTTGAGATTATTAAAAAGAAAATAAAAACTACCGAACTTGCACAAAATTGCAAAAAACTATTTATTTTAAAAATTTTTGCAAAAAAAATTTTTTTTTATTATATAAATATAATATTTTAAAAGTACACAAAAAAACCTTTCTAAAACACTACTTACTTTTTTTAATTGAATAATTTAAGTAGAAACTACAAATGTTTAAAGAATGCATGTTCGAGTTGAAGCTGAAATTTCAACCCCCCACCCTTTTGATTGGGGTGGGGGGTTGGACCTGTAAATTGGTGTAGTAACTTTTACCTACTAGGGTAACATATTTCTAAAGTATAAAGGAAATCCAAGAACTTTTTTTTATTTTTGGGGCAGTTCAGGAATAATGCCTCTTATTAGGGATTAAGTTTACAATTGTAACCGACTGTATAGCCGTACGTGCTACCGCGACAAAGGAAGATATCCAACCGAGGGTTGCTCGATGGTGGGTCTATATGCAGGATTTTAATTTTAATATTGTCTATCGTCCTGGTTCTCAAGGCGCTCATGTCGATCATTTAAGTCGAAATCCTATTGAGGTCCTGCATATTGACATCACTGAAAGCGAATAGATAAAGGTCGCGCAAATACAAGATCCCGATATCGAGATTATTCGTAAAATTTTACAAGACGGTATTGTTCAACCAGATAGCAAACAGTATTTTGATTCATATGATCTGAAAGCAGGTGTTGTCTTTAGGCGTACTGAGGCGGGAAATAAGTGGGTGGTTCCACGTAATTCGCGTTTCAATATTGTAAAATTGTGTCACGATGACCAAGGTCATTTTGGGATTGACAAAACTCTTGAAACGGTTCAGGAAAATTACTGGTTCAAGGGTATGAGAAGATTTGTAAGCAAGTATGTGAAATCTTGTTTAAATTGTTTATATTACAAGTCTACAGCTGGTCGTAAGCCAGGTCTCATGCATCCAATAGAGAAAGTTGCTATACCGTTCCACACTATCCACATTGACCATGTTGGTCCTTTTACAAAAAGCAAACGAAAACACACACAACTTTTTAATCTTGTGGACGGATTCACAAAATTTTGCATCATCGAACCTGTGAAAGATACAAGGACAAAGTGGGCAATTAAAATTCTAGAGCAGGTTTTCGCTATTTTTGGAGTACCAACAAGAATAATAAGTGACAGAGGCACCTGTTTTACCTCTCTACGTTTCCGCGAGTTTTGCATTAAATACGGAATAAAACACGTATTAAATGCTGTTTCTACACCAAGGGCAAACGGGCAAGTGGAACGGATAAATTCCACTGTTGTAAATGCTATTGCAACTTGAAGTGCCGGACTTGAAGAGGACAATTGGGACCTGTGTGTTAAGCAGGTACAAAGCGGCATAAACAGCAGTACTAATCGAACCACGCGACAATGTCCTGCTAAATTGCTTTATGGGTTTAAGCCAAAGGAGACTGCGGACTCTCGTTTGTTATCAGCGATCCAAGACGCTTTGGATGGAGTAGATTTGTCAGAAATTAGAAGAATGGCGAAGGAGGCTATTGGCATTGACCAACAGCAACAAAAGGCCAGATTTGACGCAAAGAGGTGTAAACCACCAAAGTACAACGTTAAGGATGTTGTCATGGTGGAAGGGGAACCTCCAGCTGTTGACAAAATGCGAAGGTGGATCACCTTCGATGCCTTAGAATAAAGAAAGCGCAGGTAATAAGTTATGAGAGACAATGTTTACCTCTCTTTAATGGCTTTTCCTTTCTTAAATTCAGTGACAGCTAATGACTTCTTTTCTGGTTCAGAACCAAGGTGATCGCTAAAGGCGAAATAAAGTCCTGATGGTTCTGGCAGATTAGATTAGACAAACAATGATGGGAGTTGATTTTTATATATGTATATAAAATATTCCATTGATTGGTGATCTGATTAATCTGGTGAGATGAATACTGTTTAGTCAGTATAGACCGAGCATGGTGTTTGTGAGAGTTGATTCTCTTATGAGGTATTCCACGAAATAATGTCCACGCCGGTTTAATTTTGTTTTCCCTGTCCTTAACCTATCCTTAAAATGAATTCCAAATTGTGCGATTACTCACTCATTGGGGAGTTGGCCACTCCTTTTAAATGATGGATTATCGAGCAATTACGTGTTCATCTGGTTCCGATAACAATTTGATTGGGTTGAAATAATTAAAATAAATATTATATTCCTAATTTTCAGATTGTCAACAAGAGAAAACGTCGAGAACGACTTCGGTAGTCAGGAAGGTCGTCTGTGGTAAACTATTTTTCCAAAACTATGGAAAATATCCTGTGGGATCGGTAGGCAGAGAAAATGTACCAGAAGTATAAAATGTGTGGAAAACCCGAACGAGCTGCTATGTTGAGGACGAAGGGTTTCGTTCTTTTCCGGGGTTTTATGATAGGGACGGCTGACGAGCCCCTATTGAGCCAGGCCAAGGCAGATTACATTTGGGACTCGTACCGAGAGGTCTCATTTTCGCATTATTGAAATATACATTCTTTAAACGAGTCGACATAAACTTTTAGACAATTACTATTTACAATAAACTTTAATCAAATACAATAAAGGTGTTAAATTTATTTACCACATATTCTTTAATTTCTTTTCATTTTTTGTTTTGTTTATTATTTTAGATCTATTAATTTATTTTTTTTTATATTTTACTTTAATAATTTTAATTCTTTTCTTAATTTACTTCTTTTCCATCTTTTATTTTCTATTTAAACTTTTTTCTGTTCTTTTATTTGTCTTTTGTTGTAAATTTAAATAATTTTCCTTTTTGTTTATTTTTAATTTTTTAGGTTTTAATTGATTTATACTTTTATATTTATTTCGTTTAAATCATTGTTTATTTATATTTCCTTTATTTGTTTATACATATATTTTTTTTTTTTGTCTTCTTTTGTTTTACTGTCTCCACATTTCTTACATTTTTATATTTTATAAAAATTTTCGTTTTTTTCTCAATGAAAGATTGTATATTTCTGTTTTGTTGCCCAAAGTAAAAACCTTGTAAGTCGCATTTGTTATAAGTTTCAAAGTCGGTTACCGTTTAACCGACTTTCGCCTTAACGGCGAATGCGACTTACTAGGTTTTTACTTTGGGCAGTAGCAGTGTTTGTACGTTCTATTTCTTTTCTATTTTATTAAACGTTTTTTTATATTTTTAAGTGTTATTAATTTATTTATTTAATATATATTTTCTTATTTATTTTATATGATATATATTTTGTTGTCTATTAAAATTTTTATAATTTATTTATAATTTATTTCAGTAGTCTAATATTTTTCTTTACACTTATATTTAATTTTAGTATTACACATCAAATATTTTACTTAATGTATTATTATTTATTTTCTTTCTTTTAACTTTGTGTATATATTTTCATTTCTGTGTTTCTTATCTTATTTTAGATACGCTGTGAAATTCAAAATTTCTATTTACCATTTTGCTTGGCATGGTCATCTATCTTTCCATGCGTAAGTATATATTATATTCATATATTTTCTCTTATTACATTTTTTAACTTTTTCTATTATATTTTAAGTTTTTTTTCTATTTAATTATTTTTTTTTAATTTCTTATCAATTTTTGTTTTGTTTATTATTTTAGATCTATTAATTTATTTTTTTTATATTTTACTTTAATAATTTTAATTCTTTTCTTAATTTACTTCTTTTCGATCTTTTATTTTCTATTTAAACTTTTTTCTGTTCTTTTATTTGTCTTTTGTTGTAAATTTTAATAAATTTCCTTTTTGTTTATTTTTAATTTTTTCGCTTTTAATTGATTTATACTTTTATATTTATTTCGTTTAAATCATTGTTTATTTATATTTTTTTTTTTTGTTTATACATATATATTTTTTCTTTTTGTTGTCTTTTTTTGTTTTACTGTCTCCACATTTCTTATATTTTTATATTTTATAAAAATTTTCTTTTTATTCTCAATGAAAGATTGTATATTTCTGTTTTGCTGCCAAAAGTAAAAACTTTGTTAAGTCTCATTTGCCATAAGTTTCAAAGTCGGTTACCGTTTAAGCGACTTTCGTCTTAACGGCAAATGCGACTTACTAGGTTTTCTACTTTGGGCAGTAGCAGTGTTTGCATCTTTTATTTTGTTTCCATTTTATTATACGTTTCTTTATTTTTTTAAATGTTATTAATTTATTTATTTAATATATATTTTCTTATTTATTTTATTTAATATGTATTTTGTTGTATATTAAACTTTTTTCCTAAAGTCTAATGTTTCTCTTTACACTATATTTAATTTTACATCAAATGTTATGCCAAATATATTATTATTAATTTTCTTTCTTTTCAATTTGTATATATATTTTCATTTCTGTTTTTGTTATTTCAGATGTGTTGTGAAATTAAAAATTTCTAATTACTATTTTGCTTGGCATGGTCATCTATCTTTCCATGCGTAAGTATATATTATATTCATATATTTTCTCTTATTATATTTTTTAACTTTTTCTATTTTATTTCAAGTTTTTTTCTATTTAATTTTTCTTTAATTTCTTTGCAATTTTTGTTTTGTTTAATATTTTAGAGTTATTAATTATTTTTTATTTTACGTTATTAATTTTGATTATTCTCTTAATTTATTTTCATTTTATTCTATATATTTTTTTGTCATTTTTTTCGACCTTTTATTTTCTATTTAACCTTGATATTTAAACTTGTTTTCTTCCTTTATTTGTTTATGTTGTCAATGTATATATTTTTTCTTTTTTTTTTTAATTTTTATGTCTTAATTGATTTCTACTTTTATATTAATTTCGATGTACACATTATTTATTTAAATTTATCTTTTTTTGTTTATATATATTTTAATTTCAATTTTAATTTACTAATATTTTTAAATAATTTTTAGTTTCTTTATAATTATATTTTCTCAATTTATTTTATTTTGTTTACAATTTTTTCTTTAAAATTTTTAATTTTCTTTTTTTTCATATTTTGTATTGTTTATCTTTATCTTCCACTTGTATTTCTATTTTCTATTTATACCTTTTTTTGTTACTTATTTTAATTTTATTTTTCTTTTCATTATTCTCTTCTATTTTTTGAACTTCTATATCTTATTTTCTCAATTTTTCTTATAAAACTAAACCAACGTTTACTTAAAATGTTGAATCATTTGATTATAAAAATTCAATTATCTTAAAACAATCAAATTGAATTTTTATAAATAAATAATTCAACATTTTTGAAATAATTGAAATTTCTTTAAATTCTTTAAAAATAATTAAATTCTTTTAAAGAATTTGATTTAAATTTTTCAGAAATAATGAAGGAAAGTTAGTCACTGTAATTATAAATTTATTTTTAAAATGTAAAGTCCATATTAAAGTTTTAAATCTATTTTTTGCTTCTAAAGTTATATATTATTATTCAATAATTATAGTTTGTAACGCGGCATCTTATTTGCCGCGTACAAATTAAAAATTCTTGTCAATAATTGACTCTTAACTTTTTTCTTATTCACGTCAAATCGAGAATCGACATTTATTTTCTCCTTCCGAGAATTATTCTCTTATTTATCCACTTTCGCAAAATGCATAGTTTCAAACCTGTAAAATAGCGAACCGTCAGATCGCTGGTCAACACAATTATTGTAAACATAAGAAAACTGATACTTCGATATTCTTTCATGTAAAACTTAACACCGCGAGTTCTTGACTTCTCAACGCCCTGATTACTGCCGAGATATTGCTCCGTATTCGTCCAACATGGGAAATGTTTCCTGACTTATTACTGGAAATAAATGCCGGTCATATTAATTGGCAATAAAACTAATATCCATCGGTGGGGACATCAGCTGTCATTTATAACATTTATATTTATATCATTTATAATTTATTTATGCCATTTATAACGGGTGTCTTACTATTTTTATAATTATTAGTGAAATTACTCTTAATTTTGTTACTCTAAATGAAGTTATTTTATTTCAAGAATTTATTTATGTTTACTTCAGGATCAACTAATTAAATAAAACACACGTTACTTTGTTGTTTGAATTAATGCCCGAAAGCCAGAGATATTTTATGGAAAAATATTCAAACCTAAAATTTAATTGATTTTACGCTAGCTCAATCTTTTCAAGGAGAGCGCGGGGTAAGAGAAATCACCAGTTAGTTTGTTTCGTCCGGTAGCACAAGAGTTTCTTGCTCGAGTGTGAATAGCAAAATCCTAATTCATCGACTAACCATTCAATTAACCTGCAGTATTGATGTTTCAAGTTATTCTCTCCCACTGATGTCACTGGGAATCTGCATGCTGGACAGCATAGGTTGTCGTTCGAAGTTGATAAGAATATCAAACTCAGAATCTCGCTTGATGTCAATCTTTTGATAATCATTAATTTATGCAGTAATCTTCTTGGATTTTCTACTAACATAGCTTCATCTTCCTGATCTAATTGTCCAATCAGATTCATTTTCAGGGTTGTTGTTGCTTTTGAACAACTACTAAAGCATGAGCTTATAAGTAGTTTTGTGTTCTCTTCTCTGAAAATGCTACAAAATTTTGATTTTTCTTCTGAACTAATATGTCCTAATACGAGTTCATCCATGACTTTTGATGCCGGGTCTGCTGTTTCTAGAGCAAACTTGTCATTTTTAAAAGATAAAACGAATTTATCAAATTTGTCTAGATTTTCGAGACTTAACAGTTCTCTATCTGTGATCTTCTTAAAAATGAGTATCATAAATAGGTCTCGATCTGTGTCTGTATGCACATTATAATATTGCATCAATCCTAAAGCCTTTTTGTTTAAATGGATCAATATATCCTTAAACTCTTCAGTTTTGTTTTGTAGTGATCTTGCAGCTACATACTCTCTCACTAAAGCGTTCAGTTTTGATTTGACTTGTTCTTTTGATTTTTCAGATATACTCTGGATCAATTTTGGATACTTATAAAAAGTATCATCAATTTTTACGTCAATAACTGAATCGTAAGTGTGTTTTCCAATTGGTAGATCTTTAATAATATTATATTCAGAGTACTTCCGCGATGAGCTTCTTTTCCTCTTACTTGATCTTGTCCTAACTGGTGATCTCCTTGATGTTTTAGGAGTTTTTGTCACTGGCTGCTTCCTGCTATTTTCAATAGCTATTCGAAGTTTTTCGATTTCTTCTCGATCTTCTTCTAATGCAGCTTGTCCTCTCGCTCTTAGCTGGGCTAGAGTCGGTGGAGCTTTTGGTTTTTCGACATTTCCGGGAAATAACATCTGTTTTAGATCATCAATCAAAGTGATTCTTTCGTCTCTGAATTTTATATCAGTTTTGTTGAGATAACTCTTTGGTGCTGAGTAGGCTTCAACTTCATAATCACACGAAGTGATTTCTCGTCTAAGCTCAATTTCACTCATTCCCAATGTGACTTCTGAATCAGATCTAGATGATCTTCTTCTGTTGGCATCCATCTGCTCTTCGGTCCTTCTATCTCTAGAACCTGATGCTAATGAAAAACCAAACATTTTGAATGTTATTGTTTATGTAATGATAATTATTTGAAGAATTTAATCCTCTTTAGGCAACCGCCAACGTATAAAAGGTGCGACCTTGTATATTGCTTTTAACCTCTTGGTTTAAAGACTTTCTTCCACCGCGAATTATCTCACCTGCATGCAAGGATTGTATTGTAAATTTAACCGTGCCGTCACGAGTTCGGAAATGTTGGATAGAATTTACATGAACATGTTGCCGAGATTAAAACAATTTATTAAACGTCGCGAATTTAATAATTTAGAAGAGTTGTCTCTCATTGCGTCTGACGTTGAACGTATGTACAGCTCACTCGCGGTTGAGAGAAAGCCTCAAAAACCGGAAGATTCGTTCTTCCCAGAATTTGCCTTTTCGGGTAAAGAAAATTCAGTAGCTTCGAATAATACTAAAGACTTAGACTCGTCAATCGATAAATTAGTAAACATGTTCAGCGCGATGACTGAACAAATTAATAAAATCTCGAGAGGAAACAAAAATTCCCCTTCAGAGTCAAATTTTAAGAAACAAAATAACTCGAGTAAACCGAATCAATTAAATAATAAGTCTAAGTCTCACCAGGCAAGTAACGGTAAAGGTAAAATTAAGCGTACAGAATTTCGGGAAGCGGTTCAACAACCACCGTGTTTTAATTGTCAAGCTAATGACCATTCGTGGGATAATTGTAAATTAGCTTGGAAAAAATTCTGCCACATTTGCGGTAAACCGGAATTCACCAAATATGACTGTAATTCAGATTACTGTCAGGGAAACTAGTTGAGGAGAGCAGCGCTAGGGTCGATGCTTCTCCTTGTTCGTAACCTAGGACCCTGACTAACAATAAATCGAACATGAATTTAACTCTTAACGTAGAATCAGCGTTACCATCACCCCATTCAAGTAATTTAGTAATTGAAAATAAAGTAAACTCCTTAATAAATAAAACTGAAATTAAAATAAGTGATAGGAATATTAATTTTGGTAAGCCTCTGGTTGAGCCACCAGTAAATCAATCTGAATCAAGTTTAACCGATTCAGAAGTAACTTGTAAAATTTCAACTGACACAGTAAGTGTTCAGGAGAAAAATAAAAATAACTTAACTCTAGATTCGGACCCTATATTGAGCCCCGAATCTTATATTAACCTTGATAAACTGTGTGGAATCGGTTCTCAATCGAGACCATACATTAAATTGTTGATTGGTGGTACTGAAGTACAGGCACTGGTTGACACTGGCTCGACTGGAACTTACTTGAATTCTATTGGTAGATCAATTATTGAATCAAATGGTAATAAAATAAATGAACTTGAATCGGGTCACGTAATGTTGGCCAATGGTACGATTGAAACAATCATTGGTGAGGCAACTTTGCCTGTCACTGTCGCGGGAGTGACTCGCGATTTAACAATTAAAGTTTTTCCAGATTTAACAGATCAATGCGTGTTAGGAATAGATTTCTTAGCAAAGTTTGGGATAGTAATTGACACAAGTGTTCAACAACTTTGGTTAGCGAAAGAACCGATTCTTAGTATCGTGTTTTGTAAACCTAATAAACCAATTAACCTTGAGGAATGTGCAGGCCTCATGACACTCTCTCCTATTGAACAAGAGGAATTAAACTCGATAACTAAACGTTTAGCACGTCCTCTATCAGATAAACTACCAGCCGTTAAGTTGGTTGAACACGTCATTAACACCGAGGATCATTCGTCGATCCGTCAAAATAACCATGGAAATTGGGACTTTTATATAGTTGATCTTCGTTTCGAGTATAACAAGGCGCTTCACAGCACCAATCGAGTCCCTCTACGATCCTTCCGTCGCCTTGTGGAGGGGGAGGTCGAGTTGCCTCCTCCTGATGTCAATGAGTGGACAACTCGAATGACCAGATTGAGTGACCTAAGAGAGCGTTTTGTAATTGAAGATCT